TTGAATTGTTTAGATCACTACTTCCCACCAATACGTACTTCAAATAACCTATTATTTAATTATAAGAATTATGGGGCTTTTCATATGGTAAAGTCAAAACATTACAGATATAACATGATTGAATGAGATATCGGATGTTTATGCAAATGAAATAATGTTATTTGTAATAAATTTTACAATCAATTCTCGAATGTTAAGTTATTTGTTGTTTTCTTATTAATTAAATTTATAGAAAATAATTGCAGGAAATACGTACATTTGAAAGAATTTTAATTAAGATGCTTGATATTACTCTAGCTAGAATCATAACAATTAAATTATCAAGCTATTTCAAACCTTCAATTCGTTTACTTTCTTAATTTTTTAAAAAAAAATCTCCAAAATGACCATTACCATATAATCATACAATACTAACGCAATGTGTATATATAATATAAAATATATTTTGTATATGCATATTGAAACCAATAGAATATATTCAGCAACGAAATACATACAAAAGAAAATTTATCCCAAAAAAAAATGACATACACTTTTATGGTGAGTTGCAATCTTCTTCGGTGAGTTGAGATCTTCTATTCAATGGTAAAATGTTATCTTTCTACAAATAGGTAAAGCAAGAGGCAAACATGATATATTATAAAAGAGTTCTTTTTAACATTGCATAATAAAAAATTGAACATGTAATTGAATAAGTTTTATACTTTCTCAATCACATTGAAAAAAATCATACCATGCCACCATAGGTAGGATTTATATATTTTCTTTGATTTTATTTGATTCCTAGCTGACCCAAAATTTTCTACCTTTTATATTATATTAAAAAAAAAATTAAACTTTCTTAGCTACCAAATGTCTTATAAATAATATTTGTTTAGTGCTCTGTCGGGTCAGGGTGTGGGGGGCCTTGGGGTTGTGAATTCAACCTTTTGGGAAGAATAATATTTATTTAGTAATAATTATTAATAAATTACTCAACCTCACTATAAGTGCTTACATTCAATTGTCCGTGCTTTGTGCAAATAGTATTTTTGTGCACATTTTTTTTGGAAAACATTATTAAAAAAAATAAAAAATCTACAATCGTATTTTATACATTATGAAATGTACTTTGTGGTTCATAAAATTATACTTTCTTCCTTATATACATTTGGCAAATCATAGGGTATAATTGTACAAATCACCCTACATTATAATTTTGTTTTTTTTTTTAATCTTTTACCCTTTTATATCATAGATTCTATAATTGTTAATATTTTTCACATGCATTGGCTAAACTAGGGTCTAGTGCATTACCATTTGGATGCCAAGATTGCACATTCCCACCCAGCCACTTTATGTTACCTCTAATAATAGCAAGATTCTTGGGCATGCCCTTTTTTGATGGGTTAGTTATTTTGTATGAAGAATTGTTATTTTAGGGGATGATGGATTAGGCTTTTAGGAGTTAAAAATATAGCAAACTAAAGTAGGACAATAAATTAGCTATAGCTATGGTCCATGCCTAAAGTAGTGACCTTGCCATTCCAATGATGGTGTGCCCTTTATGAGATTTTTTTTTAAAAATATATGGCATATACAACTGGATGGCTGGCTTCTGGGATTTGGCCATCAACATCTTTAATCTTTAAAGATGGGGAGTTACTGATGATAGGTGGAAACCAAGACTGATCCTTGGGGCCCCATTGCTCCATCTGTATTTTAAGTCATTATTATATCATGTAACAATTACACTCAAACTCAACGAGATTCTGAATCATTTTCTCAACAAGGAGGGTATAAAATTCAAAAAATAGAAACAGATGTGAAGATAAAAACTTCGATTAACAATAGAGGCATTAGGCAGCGACCGCAACATATTTTCTAACTCTTGCTAATGTGATTTATATCGACTTTATAAGAGATAATAAAGCAGTATTAAATTGAGATTAAATTTTTGCAAGTGGGCAAGAAAGTGATATTGTGAATAGCCCAGTTGAATTTGTTCCTCGACACATTAATGATTGTAATCTCATGACTCAACCCCATACCCTCTCTCTCTCTCTCTCTCTTCAACCTTTCTTTTGGGAACTTTTCCTTTTTGTCACTCCTTTTTGCGTGAAAAAAGCTATAATTTGTAAGTGTGCATTGGAAAATTCATTTCTCACCACCTTTGTTTGCTTTGCCTTTCTCTTCTTTTCTGATCACCACAAAACTCCCATCCCCTTTTGCCTCTAATATTTTGTGAATCATTAGTTGTGGTAGGACTAGGATCCGACTCCGTCATTGGATCACACAAAACCCTTTCTTTTCCTTATTATATTTATTTTGTGCCTACCTTTTAAATATTTTTAAACATGACTAACCACACCTTGTTTAAAAAGATGATTGAATTTGAGATTTCAAACAAGATGATTGAGGAACATACATATATAATAATATAATATATAAACATAAATGTATAGTCAAATAAGTATTATAAGTATATGATTGCTCGATAGATCGAGAAATATTAAGAACTTTCTTTTCTGTAGAGCAAGCTGGCTTTTATAGCATTGAGCGAGAGGTCATAACTGAGAGATTAAAAATGTCAATTTTTTCAATGCTCTATGATTATTAGGATTTGAGAAAAATTTTCAAATCTTTATATTTTAGATATTATCCATTTTGATCTTCTTTTAAATTTACCACCTATCAATATTGAGGTACATTTGGATGTTGTAACTATTATTAATTTAGCAAAATATTGTATTATTATTGAATGTAGGATTTCTTTAAAAACATTCTTAAACATGGGATAGTCTGAATGATCAGATTCAATGTGTAATCATTTGCTCTCTTATTTTTCTTTGGGAAAATGGCACTTTTTCCCACTATGTTATATACTTATAGCACTTTTCCCCCCTCAATTATTTAAGTGGCTCTTTTTCCCCCTGAAATGTTAAATGAACATATTTACCCTTAAAATAAATATTTCATTTATTTTTATTCTCTAATAAATTATTACTATAATTTGGTTCAAACTAGATACTATAGTAACCAAACTAAAATATTCCAATTACAATTTATAATCAAAACGCGATATTTAGAGTTTATTAAAATCACGAACTGGAATGGCCGGTTCATGTTCCGAACTGAAAAAATAAAATACATTTATTGTTGAATTTAAGCTATTTTAAAATAAAAAATAAAATTTTAAAATAAAGACGGTTCAAAATCGCGAACGGGATTCGGAACCGCCGGTTCATGATCCAGTTTTTTTTTTTATTCTTAAATTTAATAAATTGAAATCCAAATATTGGGTTCTAGATCTGAATCATAACTGAAAACTTTTAATTCGATTGCTATAGTGTCTGGTTCAGTTCGAATCGAACCGTGGTAATCGCTACATATACGCAATAATTTGTTGGAGAAGTAAAATAAATAAAATGTTTACTTTAAGGGTAGAAATGTCAATTTAATATATTAAGGGGGGAAACCACCACTTTTAAAATAATTGAGGGGGCTAATGTGCTTACATAAATAATTGAGGGGGAAAAAGTGCTATAAGTATATAACATAGGGGGAAAAAGTGCCATTTTCCCTTTTTCTTTCTTTCTTTTTGAGCATCCACTCTCTGGGGTGAGGATGTGGGGATTCAATAATTTGAAAGGATGACATAATTGGATTCAGATATGATTGGAAGGAAAATCTCTGTGCAGTGGAGGAGCAGCTCAACCAGCTAGTTGCCCAGGAATACATTAGAGTCCTTAACTCATTAATTATATCAACAATGCAAATGATCATCAGCTTTTAATTTCCATATTCTTCGAAACCGATTAACTCAACGATAGTGCATTCTTACAATAACAACATTACAAAGTGCATTCGGTTACATTATACCGAATTTATTTTTTTACAATACTTCATTATTTGAATTGTTGTCTCCAGTTGAGCCAATTCAACTTGGTTGGGCAATGCCCTATGGTCCAACTTGTTCAATTCTTTTCGGAGATTTGTTGTCTTTTATTGGGCCAAACCTAGTGGGCTACGATGAAATTCAATGTTCTATGTCTAAAAAAGCTACAATAGTTATGGGCAAATTATGTTGTGCACCCATGGTGCATACGGATGCAAAAACGACGTCGTTTTAATAAAACGCGCGTCTCCCCTTAAAAAAAAAAATCAGGTTCGATTCCCAGCAATAACATATGAACTAAAATTTCATAATCGATGAACTATAATTCCATAATCTAATCTATAAACTAAAATTTCAGAATCGATGAACTACAATTCCATAATCGATGAACTATAATTCCATAATCAATGAACTATAATTTCATAATCTATGAACTAAAATTCCAGAATGAATGAACAATATAATGTTGTTGCTGGGAATCGAACCTGAATTTCTTTTAAAGGGGAGACGCGCGTTTTTTAATAAAACGACTGCATGGTGCATACGGATGCACAACATAACTATCCGGATGTACTAACTGCTACCAATTTTGATGATGTAGGCCTCGTAACATTTTTGAAACACCCCATCTCGTTAAAGGAACCATACGATAATGTATTACACGACTTTTACTTTCTAATCTTGGAAAAATCCCTTCCTCAGCTCCCAAAACAGGGATAACAAATTCTTGTTTATTTGGTCATGCTGACATATAAACTCCAATCAAATGCCCAATTTGAGGTATCACTTCTACGCAATCCTATAAGTTTATAATCGTGTCTGCAAAATTAAGTATTCCAGTGAAGAAGCAACAATAATGTTGCGGATACGCTGCAAAACTTATTCTTAAAAGTTTAATGATCCGATCCATAGCTTTAGTAGTATGTACCAAACTGGGCGGCCAAAATCCAGAACATGATATGTTGGGCAAACTAAAACTACATAAATTTCTCTTTGTTTCTTGCAAGGCAGTGTAACGCTTATACCTCCCTTTTCCTGCACTCAATACCTTTCCGTCATCAAATATAATTTATGTAAATGTTGTTTCGTATAAAAGAGGTGTTAAATGAAGCAGAAAAACTCGACCAAGAAACGATAAAGAAATTGTCAGATTCTAAGAGATGGATATTCATGTGGGAGACGAAGAGTTGTCCCATAATAATGTTGTTGTTAGTGAAAAAGTTCCATTGTTGGTTCCCGATGAAGTGGAGAAAAACCTCGTACAGAAAGCCATTAGTCAGACGTTTCAGAGCGCCGCCCATTTAGCCAACCTTCTCCCCACCGGCGCGGTTCTGGCTTTCCAGCTTCTATCGCCCATATTCTCCAACCAGGGCGACTGCGACGCCGTGAGTCGGTTCTTGACGGCGTCTCTCGTCGCCATGTGTGGCCTCTCGTGTTTTCTGCTCAGCTTCACCGACAGCTTCAAGGACCAGAAGGGGAACGTCTGTTACGGGGTGGCGACGGTGAAAGGGCTGTGGGTGATCGACGGGTCGGCGAGTCTGCCGCCGGAACTTGCGGCGAAGTACAAGGTGAAATTCATTGATTTCGTGCACGCCGTCATGTCGGTCCTGGTTTTCGGGGCTATTGCGCTGTTTGATCAGAATGTTGTGAGTTGTTTCTACCCGGCGCCGTCCAAGGAAGCGCAGGAGATCCTCACGGCGGTGCCGGTCGGCATTGGGGTGGTTTGCAGTATGCTTTTTGTTGTTTTCCCCACCAAACGCCATGGAATTGGTTTCCCCTTAACGACTGATAATTAACTCGATCTATATATACCCATATTTTAAAAAAAAAATGTTTGATAACCCTTTCATTGTATAGAAAGAAAAAAAAAATTGTTTAATATTGAAAATTGGATGGGGTGATTTAAGGAAAATTGATTGAATGGAGTGAGTTAATGAAATTTGTATGTAAAGTCTTGGAATTATTTTAGCTATGTATTTTTCAACCAAGATTCATTTGCATGTAACGTGGCAGATTTGTTTCGCCCAAACAGAACAAAAATGTGAGCAACAATTTTGTTGTAGAGGCATTTTATCAAGCAGGTTGTCGGCTTCGTAGGTAGTCTAGACCAAACACCGGAATAAGCGGACCGATGTCTGACTTTCTATCCGGATCCGTAACCCCGTCGAGCAGTATTGGGCCGTGCGAACCTTTTAATGGGCCGAAAGTTTTCATAAATCTTTCTGAATCTGTGCTTTATTGATCCTCTTCATCTTTTCATTATAACATTTTTTTTTGAAGAATTATTAAAACATTTTTCGTCTTTTACCTTTCTATAATAATGAAATAGTAATTTCAAGCTTTCAATTATGAATGTAAATATTAGGCTATCCCCATTCACGAGTATTATTTGTTAGCCCGCATTCAGTTGGTCATAGCCTCATAGGGGTGAAGTTCAGGAATTGAGTCTCATCAGCGGTAGTGAGGGAGCTCTTTGTACGCAGTAAGCAAATATTTAACCTCTGTGTTCAGCTAAATTATCATATCATAATTTACATCCTCCGTCGAATCAGGGTGTGGGGGTCTTTAGGGTTGTGAATTCAACCTCTACACATCAACTTTGCAATTGGAAAAAAATCATGGATACAAACTTTACGCTGCTACGCACAAGCCTAACTAACTCCAATGTTTATGGTAAGAATTGAACCCCACTGATTATAAATTGATGTTTACTTCAAAGATTATACTATTTTTTTTGTTTTTTTCCTTGATGCGATAAAAAAATATCTCAAGAAATTGCATTTTGGATTTGCGCAATTGAAAGAGCGATTGGCATCACAAGAAAAATGGGAAAATGTTGATAAGAAAAAGAAAAGGCTGAGGCAGACAATAAGATTGGAGATGACAGCCTATTGGTTAGAAACCTCTTCTTGGAGGATAAGATAAGGCCCCACAAATCCCCTCCGGTTTCACCAAATTTCGTTTTAACCATTTCCAGTTTCCCACATCCAACCGGACCGGATATCATCTGGGCCCCACGTTGATTCAGTACTGCGCGACCAGAAACAGCAATCTGCACCCCATCCATTTTGCGCCGTTGATTTTTTTCTCCTGATTTTACAATCTCAAGACAGACTTGTATGATCCGTCGCATTCAAAAAAACAAATCATGTTATTGTTGGGAGATCATGGTGTTTCATGTTTGGTGAAATAATCGACAATATTTTGTTTGATATATTGTCGTAGTTCAAGTAAGGATAATTTCGTGTTGGATGGTAATATGTATTTTTTTACGTGATAAAATATTTATTAACGTGAAGTAGAGTCAATAAATTTACGATAGTCATTGAATAAAAGAATTTTATTATTCTTCAAATAAAAAAAAGAATTTTATTACCATGACAAATATGAACATATGATTTAAAATTATAAAAGAGAAAAAAACATTATTCTAACAATAAATATGATAATTACTCATCAAGAATCTTGTGGTCTAATGGTATCCGGTTTCTCTCAGATGAGATCGAATCCTTCCACTACATAGAACATAGTTATCCATATATCATATGAAATTTTTGGGAAAGAAGTTTTAGATTAATATTGTTTTAGTGTATTATGAAAAAAAAAAAAAAAAAAAAAGAGCATAAAATATATACTTTGCATTTTACCAACCCTAACATTGGTTTTATGGAAAAAAAAATATTTTCCTAAAAGTTAAGGAAAATATAGTTGTATGCGTGTTTGGTTCATGGAATTCATTTTTCATTAGAAAATGAATTCTTCAAAGTTGAGGAAAATGAATTATTTGTAAAAGGGTGTGATTTTGTTTTCTGCATGACTTGGGATAAAGTACATAACTGGACCATTTTACCTTTATGAAAGTTTCTTAATTACATAGGTAGTTAGGTACCTATTTATTTATTGATCTTTTTAGTAACATATTAGTCTTTATATTCATTATTCCTTACTTATTCAAAAAAAAAAAATATTCATTATTCCTTACATTTCTAAACTCAATCAAACAATGGAATCTATATTCTCATTAATTTATTTTTCCACCAACCAAACAATGGAATCCATTTTTCTGAAATTTATTTTCCATGAAATTTCAATTTCATTTTCTTCAAATATTTTTCAGCGAATCAAATAGGTTGTTAAAGAGTATTACTTTGTGTTTACTAATTGTAGAAAGGAAAAACAAACAAGTGTTTCATGTTTATATTTTTTTTTCTTGATTTGAAAACAAAAAGGAAGAATAGAAAAATTAAAATAAATACAGTTATTACAGTGGATACAATGTTTCTTAACCCAGCCTATTAAATTTTGCAAAAAAAAAAAAAAAAAAAAAAAAACCTCTTAGAGGTCCCATATAAGAGTTTCACGTGTTTGTCCTCATATTTAATACGGAGTATGATATTTAATATACTATGATTAATAACAATACCCCATATTTAATTGCTTTTGCACAATAAATACTTTTAAAATGGAATACTTTATAACCACATCACCATATTTAAAGAGTATCTAATCAAATAAAAGGATCAATTAGGAGTCTTGATGTAGTATTATGATCAAATATGCATTATTCAGCATACCTAATAACCCGTTAATAGAATTTAAGACTTTAAATAGTACAAAGTATAAACCATGTCAAACTGAAATCACTATTATATAGAGTTTAAAATCATCTAACAATACCACATCTTTCAGAGTTTCAGCTAAAAGTTTACACAAAAAATTTGGGTAACAGTTTGAGTAGTTGAAATAGATCGTCACTCTAATTACTTTATAAAAGTAGTCGTGGTGATTACAATGGTTTAATTGATTTAATTAACTGTCACTCCTCTCATTGTTCTTCTAGGATTAAAATTGTTATAATGATGGGGTGCGAAGCAGCGGATCATGCTATGGAATAAAAGCTTCAATCCGAAAGAAATATGAACCGTCCGTCTGTTTACGCGACAGCAACCACAAAAACCGTCCTCACTGTTCGTAGCCGCGCAGGTTAACTTCCTCGGCGTACGTTATTTTTCTCTTCTCAAGTGAAAGTGCGAGCTCTCAACTCACAAGAAACTACCTGCGACTGCCTCTCTTCCTATCTCTCTCTCTCTCTCTCTCTCTCTACAGTCAAATGGAGTCTCGCGTCCTTACTGGCGCCACCACGGCTCGCGGCCTCCCACTTCTTCGGAAGCCGCTGGCAGCGGTGGCGGCGAGGTGCAACGCCTTCAGCTTCCCTGCCGCCGCCGCCGCGAAGCCTATCGGGGCGAACTTGGTATGGGGACGGCAGTTGCGGCCGGCTATTCTGCTCGAGACTTCGCCGGCCAGCCCTATTATGCCGGCGATGAAGAGGGAGATTCTCCGTCCGTGTCAGGCCGCCGCCGAAGGCAGTGGTTCCACCGGGTAAGTTCTGTCCGTTTTCTCAATCCCCATTGATCCGACCCGAATTAATCCTCGTCGTCCTGACCCGTGTTTCTCGCAGGGAGGCTAAAGTCGGGTTCTTTGACAAATACCCGGCACTTCTTACCGGGTTCTTCTTCTTCATGTGGTATGTCACGTGATCTCTCCGGTTATTTTAACGGCCAACCGTTATTTCCCCAAAATAACTAATTTAGCCCTGCCTTTTGCAGGTATTTCCTGAATGTGATATTCAACATTCTCAACAAGAAGATCTACAATTACTTCCCTTATCCTTAGTGAGTAAACCTTTATATATATTTTCACTATGTTAGTTTTTTCTGTTATTTCGGTTACATGTTTATATGATAAAAACATTAATTGGCTGCAGCTTTGTGTCTGTTATACATTTGGCTGTTGGAGTTGTGTATTGCTTGGTGAGCTGGGTTGTAGGCCTACCTAAGCGAGCTGTAAGTTCTCTATTTACAGTTAAAGAAAATTAAAGAGTGGCATGAATCCAAGAAAGGGAAATGGAAAAAAATCAAAACTTGGTTATGTTAGTAATGCATTGTTGACCTTTAAAGCAATCATTTTTAGTATTTTATGATCTGAATGTAGTAATATTGATTACTTATTTTTTGGATGACGAGGGAAACTCGCAGCCATTACCTTGTGACCTTAGTCGACATAGACCAGCCTAAGTTGTCATAGCTGACTGGCTCAGACCAAAAAGGTTAATAGGCCGCTCCTATTAGATGTTGAACTTGGAACCTTATGGTTACCAAGTTAACTAACTGACCGACTTGGTTGTTGTTGCCCCCATTAGTGTGTTTATGAGTTTTGTGATAATCGAATTTACTGATTTGTTATTAAACTTTGTTGGGAATCCTTTCTTGTAGCCTATTGACTCAAACCTCCTAAAACTGCTCATACCCGTTGCCTTCTGTCATGCACTGGGCCATGTGACTAGCAATATTTCGTTTGCTGCTGTTGCTGTCTCGTTCACCCATACAATCAAAGGTGATGTTTCGTGTGTCGTTATGTTGATGAAGGAAGGGTTACTAGGAAGCAACCGTTCTGTTGTATAATTTGCATTGTTAATTAACAGCTGGTATCGTCGTTTTGGTGCAGCTCTCGAGCCTTTCTTCAATGCTGCTGCATCTCAGTTCATACTCGGGCAACAGATACCCTTGACACTATGGCTCTCACTGGCCCCCGTTGTTATTGGTTAGCACCTATACTCGTTTATCTGGTTCTTCATTCTGCGTTTTTTTGCTCCTCGTGTAAAAGTTGGATATAGATGTTAGTTTACGGTTATCAAACTGGATGCAGGTGTGTCAATGGCATCCCTGACTGAGCTTTCGTTCAACTGGCTTGGATTTATCAGTGCTATGATTTCAAACATCTCATTCACTTACAGGAGTATATACTCGAAGAAAGCTATGGTTGGCTCTCGTTAATCTTTCATTAGTTCTATAAAATTCATCAGTTTCGATCTACCATTTATTAATGTCTTATTTGTACCATTTCTTTTGCAGACTGATATGGATAGCACTAACATTTATGCCTACATATCTATCATTGCCCTCCTTTTCTGCCTCCCGCCAGCAATAATTGTGAGTGAAAGAACACTAGAACAGTTGGAACAATATCGTTTTCTTTCTTCCTCTCTGCTGCTTTTTCATCCTTTTTGTTTTGGTTTCAACTATACCACAGCTCGAGGGACCTAAGCTAATGAATAATGGATTTAATGATGCAATTGCTAAAGTTGGTATGACAAAATTCCTGTCGGATCTTTTCTGGGTGGGAATGTTCTACCACTTGTACAATCAGGTATTTTCTTTTCCTTAAACTTCCTATGTTGTTGGATTCATCCGAAACTTGTTAAGCTCTTTCTTTTCGGTTTGCAGATAGCCACTAACACCCTTGAGAGGGTTGCACCGCTCACCCATGCAGTTGGGAATGTGTTGAAACGTGTTTTTGTCATTGGATTCTCAATCATTGTCTTTGGTAAATACAAATCCTCGTAAACTTTCTCATGCTAAATCTTTCCAATACTTGTGTTCAAATGACACAACAATCTAACGTTTTTATCTTTTGCAGGCAACAAGATTTCGACTCAAACTGCTATTGGAACCAGTATAGCAATCGCTGGAGTTGCACTCTACTCCTTCATTAAGGCCAAGATAGAGGAAGAGAAACGGGTGAGACCAACAACCTCAATCTGAACTTTCTGTTGAACATTAAACCAACCAACCTTATATTTTGGTCTTAGTAATGGTACTGTCTGCATCTTTGTTGTCTAACATGAAAACATTGTTTTCTTTTCTTGGAACATCTGCAGCAAATGAAATCTACCTGAGGAGATCATAAAGGAGAGCATGGATGGATGTGGAGGACAATTGCCTGGCTGGTTGATTTGTATTTTTTTCATCCAATGAAAATGAAAAAGAGGAAGAAAAAACCCAAATTTGAGTTATTCTGTATAATTGTGTAGTTAGTTTTCCAGTTGATTATTTTGATTCGGAGATCACTGATCCTCAACCACTCTCAATGGTTGGAATAATGTGTACTTGCACTACTTATATTTCGCGACGAAATATTTATGTTTACAAGCTCTTATGAGAGTTAGCAGATACGGTCTATTAACCTTCTTAGTTTGTTCTTAGTTTGAGCTGATCAGTTATGGATAACTTATACTGGTTAAAGTACTACAGTAATTTAGAAATCCTTAAAGAAAGATGTAAGATCTATATAAGCATGTTTTGCAGATTCTTGTACATATAATTGGACTTCAAGTCTTCATCAAAGAAATGTCTGAGAGAGAAAGAGATAGACTATATGCACAAAACTGGTAGACCAAATGAATGGTTTAAAGTCAAGAAGCAAGCAATTTCTTGATTCCAGACTTCTGCTCTGGAGTCACCCTTGCTGGGAACTTGATGTTAAACTTGATCCTCAAATTGCCTCTCTTTGTGGGCTCTTTGGCAATTGGCATCCCTTCTTTTGGGACAACCTCTTCATAGCCTGGATGAATGACAGAGTTGATAGGAATGGTGAGTTTTCTTCCATCTAGAGTTGTCAAATGGACAGTGTAGCCTGTTAAAGCTTCTGCGAGAGAGATTCTCTGTGTGACAACAAGATCATTCCCTTCTCTTGTGAAGGTGCTATGGGGCTTTTCGTCGATTATGAATACAAGATCTGCAGGGATGAGATTCGGCTCCTCGTTTCCTTTCTCTGCAAATGTGATCTTTGTTCCCTTCTTCCAGCCTGGTTTGATGTCAAGAGTTAAGATCTCTTCTACTGGCAATGTCTTCCTGCCCAGAAAATGGATATATAATCACCATTATCATACATCATTCATCACAAGAATATTGATGTTTAAAGACTTTGAATGCCAGACAAGTATAAAAAAAAAATACTTACCCACTCATATCAGCAATCTCCCTGGAGATTTTCATCTTCTTAGTGGTTCCCTTGTAAAGCTCTTCAAGGCTGCAAGGCAACTTTCTTTCAATTGGAGGTGCTTTTCGTGGCACTGAATTCATCGGTCTGCCATCTCCAAATGAACTGAAGTTATTATCATCCCCAAACAATGAACTGGAGAACATTGAATTCCCTCTCATCCCACCTCCCATCCCACCAAATCCAAAGAATTCAGCGAAAATATCATTAGCATTTCTGGGGTTGAATCGAAACACATTTGGCCCATCCCCTGACCCTGTATGGAAGAACGTCGTCCCACCAGCCCCGCCGGCGTTAGGCGGCGGCACTTCACCTTTAAGTCCTTCCTCGCCGTATTGATCATAGATTGCCCTCTTCTGTGGATCACTCAGAACCTGTAAGATGTTAACAAATAGGTAATAATGTGATTAATCCCGTAAAACCCAGACGCCATATTCAATCCAAAAACAAGAATCATGGAAAATCTGTGCAAGGATCGGATCTTTCTGAACATTCAAGAAATTGCAAATACAATTGGTAATTGCATACCTCATAGGCTTCGGAGATCTGCTTGAATTTGGCCTCGGCTTCTTTCTTGTTGGTTGGGTTCTTGTCAGGGTGCCATTTCATAGCCAGCTTTCTATAAGCTTTCTTCAAATCTTCATCTTTTGCATTCTTGTCCACCTGCAATATCTTATAGTAATCTACCCCCATCTTCTTCCGTCTCTTATCTTGCGCTTCTTTATATTGAACTCAGAGAATTATATTATATAGATGTTTGTGTATTGGTTTGTTTATTTATCTGTGTTTCTGTTAATTGGTATATATACAGAGAGAGAGAGAGTATAGGTTTAAATATAGAAGATATGGAGGGGTCTAGAAAGCGGGGAAGGGGATATCAGAAGAAGAATGGAGAAGTTTCCAGATTTTAGCTGGCAGCAGCGGCTATTCTAATTTGACTGTCAAAGTTTCTTAATATGGAAAGTTTGTTTTGTTTGACTTTGGACTGACAAAATAAATTCACAATCATTATTTTAAAATGTATATATTAGATAAACACTGTTTTATGATTTTAATAGGAAAAAGAATATATTTATCTAATTTCTCTGACTAACTCAAATCGTCAATATATGTATTTCATGATGAAAGTGAATATGATGGGTTGTTATCCAATCTGTACAACAATTAGTTTCTTTATGAATGTGTTTGATCACACAAGTTTAATCTCACCTCTTTAAATCTTTAATAGCTTCGAGTAAATTAGAATAACAATTAGTAAAGAGCCACTATTTTAACACTAACCTTTGAACTTTTTACGTGCCTAATATCCTAAAACTGTAATATAAAGTAATAATCCACAGGCCATTTTGTTGCGTTTTGGACTATAACCTATTGTCTTCTTGATAGAGTATTTTTCAGTACTAGCCCAATACCTACCCCTAGTTTGTTTGCAATTTCTGGGCCTATGGACTAAGGCCCCATCTGTTTGTTTGAAGAGTTTGATATTATGTGATAACATATTATAAAAGTTCGTTCTCATTAAGGGAAAGGATTTCAAAGATTTACAAATCCTCACACTCGAGGACGTTACCATCCCGTCTACACACATATTAAATATTTGTTTTCAATGTATAGTAATACACTCTTACGTTAAAATATGCTTGCTTTGAATCACTAATAATTGTGCATAATAATAATTTATATAAAACTACTTAAGATCGAGGGAAATGTAGCATTACCCCCATCTTATATCATGGTACAATGAATCAAGTGTCCAAATTGGGCTTTGGGTTTTCCTCATGTATTAATTTTCCTTTCCATTTATGTATGTATATAGTGACAATTTGAAATGATTTGTTGCTAATATTAGAGATCTAGCATGTGAAATTGGTAGAATTTAAGAGAAAAGCACATGGTTTATCTAAAGAGCAATCATTATTGTGTATTGGACTATATTATCAAATAATGTATATTCAGTACATAAATAATGTACTTTTAGTATATTAAAATGTGCATTATATTCAAGGAAAACACATTATTTGAGTACTGAAAGTACATTATTTTGTCCCTTAATTGGGCCAACACTTTACCACTTAATTGTCGGTGCGAACGAGAATTAGTCTGAATATGATATGGGCTTAAAGGTGTCTCCTACAATTAAGGCATGCTCAGAATACCTCGTGGTCTGATAAAAATATATATTATTTTGTATAATGTACATTCAGTACACTAATAATGTACTTTTAGTATATTAAAATGTCCTCCGTACTTTTTATTATGATCCACACAGTACTGTGTGGACCATAATAATTTGCCACCAAAGAGAGGTCATTCTCTAAGATTTCATATCGACTTCTTTAATATCTTTATAGAGTTCATTCTCTAAGATTTCATATCATCTTCTTTAATATCTTTATATTTCTCATTCTCTAAGATTTCATATCATCTTCTTTAATATCTTTATATTTCTCATCTATTAGGGAATATGACTATGAAAATAAAAATGCTACACTTCTACAATTACCGCTTCTTATTAACTACTATCTGACATGTCATTTTTTTTTTATTTAATTTGATTTGTAAGTTACTTATAATTTCAATCCCTTTTTAGTTGTTTCAGTTATAAATCTAAGTATATTTCTTTTAGTTTTTCTGTTTTTTTATGTGCATTGTACAAGAAAGTTACACAATTGCACACGAGACTTTATGTAACACTAATAATGTATTTTCTTTATTCTCTTTTACTTTATTTTTTTTTTCTTTTTATCTATATACCTCTTTATTTCTTTGGGTATTTAATTATTTAATATTTTATGTTTTCCAATTTCAGTAGTGAGTGTGATGACAGACAGAGAGACAGAGCCTTGAATGTTACGAAGTCGCATGAAATATGATGGCGCCGTTAATCACGCAACAATTTCCACAAAACCTACAAAAAGTACGTCAAACAATTATATACTTCTAGTCAACAGTGTGGGTACAAAACACAATTCTTTTGTAATAAAATATTTTATTTTTATTTTGGAAGCAAAATATTTTTAATTTTTAAACTAACTATTTGTCTGCTTTCGGTCCGCTACCGCCCGTAAATTAAGCATAATCTTCTTTTTTCTTTTTTGAAAGATAAATTAATTTTATTCACCCAAAGAAATATGATTTATCCAAAAGAATTTAAGAGAAAAGCAAATGGTTTATCCAAAGAGCACACCATAAATGTATACTTTCCATGCTTGATTAGAATTAATTAAACAAATATAATTATCCTAAACAGAAGATGACGCTCATTTATTTATTTGTCACTAAATTTTATTGTTAATCGTGTCACATTAGCAGTAACTTGTTGAATACATAATATTAGAACGTAATTGCACTAATATGTCAATTTAGGGTTCTTTACGTGTTTTTTAGTAGCCTAGTAGGAGATTAGGAGCTCTAATTACACTATTTGTTTAATTTTGAGGGTACGGTCAATTTGTCACATTCTCGTTTTTAAAATATATAAATTAAATAAATCAAAATTATATCCAAGTAGATATATGAGTGGATGAAGCTAGAGGTTCGGATATTGATATTGTTATATATGAGAGAGTGAAAAAAAGATGAAAAATTGTAAATGGTGTTAATATGGGATATCCATCAATTACGCAGAAAGTTGGAGGGTCCAATATATCACAATTGATATATGATAAAGCTCAAATATGGAGTATGGAGTATGGAGTATATACACTATAGAAGGGAGCATTATATATATTGCATGGATCAAAAATGGCATAATTATGTTGAGTCCACCATCCCCGCATTATTATACGCCTGCACTTTTCATTGTTTCAATCTCTCATCTTCTTCACTATATAGTATATAATCTATCTCCTCACTCGTTTTCCTTTCCTTTTTGTCTTCCTTTCAAAAAAATACAAAAGGTTTCTAATATTATTTCCATCTCCCTTGTCTATCGCAATTCCTATGGTATCATAAGCAAGGAAAGTAGTGTGTAAATAAGGAGAAATTAAAATATTAATGGAAGAGATAATTACATTTTCTGTTTTTTAAGTATATATTCTTTCAAAAAGTTGAACCTCAACCCTATTTTAAAGTTATATATATATATATATATATATATATATATATATATATATATATATATATATAGGTGGAATGAATGTTTTCGTCTTTTGGATGACGAAATAGGTCACTTGCGAAAGTTGTACTTTTCATTTCTAATCTAATTTTTTATAATAATAATAATAATAATAATAATAATTATTATTATTATTATTATTATTATTATTATTATTATTATAAAAGATAAAAGATATTCATTGTAACAAAAAAAAAAAAAAAAAGTTAGGTGATGTGAAAATATAACTACTCTTCAAAATAGGGAGAGAATTACTTGAATGGAGAATAAACAGTGATTAGTTGTAAATTTAGTTATATGATAGTAAAGTCTAATTTTTTAAAAATGAAAGAATGTTTCATGTCTGCGAATAATTAACTTTACAAATAGATAGCTAGACTAGTATAAAATATAAAAATAAAAAATAAAGGTTTTAATTATTATTTAGTAGAATAAATATTTTAAAACTTCTTGACAAATGCTACCATGAATCCCCAACTATACAATTTATATTACTTAATTAATTAGGCTTTTAATGTATCTTTATTACCAATGAATGAATTCTTGCCTTCTTGGTGGTTGAAAATTGAAATCAACCAACCATCGTGAATTAGACAATTAGTTGAAACCATTGAAAGGACCATAATAATAATAACACATCGTGAAAATTTATTACCCATTTGGCCAGCCCCTACCATTTCGTGTGCTGAGAAACGAGGGATTAGTCTTCTGGCTATCGACGGGAGGGATATCTTTAATTTGGGCAACCAAAAAAATAAAATAATAATAATTATTATTATTATATTATTATTACTCCGTATTATTTTAAAATCTAGGTGAAGTGGAATGATTTAGAATGGTGATATAAGACCAACTTTTGAAATTGGAAAATATTTAATAAATAAATAAATAAATTCAATTAAGTATAGATTGGGATAAAATAGCATTGGTTCCGGTAATTAACCATATATTTTCCATGTCCTCACACAAAAAATCAGCAGAAATTTTTGGTATAAAAATAGGAAAACAAATCCTTCCTAATAAACTTCATCGCCCTCTCTATATAAACAAAATAAAACTCCAATCCTTCATACCACAACACAACCAAACATCATCGTATCACTGTTTCTCTGTCGTCTCTCTCCTTCCATGGCTTCCATTGTCACTCATTTCTCAATCTTCTTCCTCTTCTCCCTTCTTTCCCCACTTCATCTCCATGCAAGAGAAAGTCAGTTCTTCAGCAAAATTCCCAGAAACAACGTTGTTATCAAGGCGCAGACAACATTAAACCCCCAAGAACAACAGCCCAACTTCGTCCAGGAATCTGAAAACGGCGGCTACGGTCTTTACGGCCGTGAATCCACCACCGCCGCCGCCAAAAACCTCCCTTCCTGGGAGGAGAATATTCCCAACAAGAAATACCTCCCCAAGAACTACAGCCCCGTTTCCTACGTCACCGTCCCGGAGGATACCTCCGCCGGCGCCGGCGCCGGCAAGCAGAAAACATCCATGCCCAGTGACACATTCATGCAGAGCGGCTACACCAACGGCGGCGAGAATTACTTCAACAACCAGAAGGAGAGGTACCCCTCCGCCACCACCACCACCGGCAACCGGAATGATCAGTACAACGGCGGCGATGCTAATGGAGGATTCAAGAAACAGGGGATGAGTGACACCAGATTCTTGGACGGTGGGAGATATTATAACAACGGCGAGAGGTTCCCCAGAAACCCATTGGACAATTCAAGAAACCAGTTTGGAAACAGCAGGTATTTCAACGAAAACAACAACAATTTCATGGAGAACAGCTACCAAAATGAGGAGGAGTTCGAAGATGAAGATGATGATGATTTGCCCTGAGGAACACTTCCTAGCTCTTTAATTTGCAGAACATATAAATGTTATTATTTGTCTTTCATGTTCGCAACTGTTGGGTATAAGTGATTAAGATTGTCGATCTTGTTGAGTATTACCATGGTTTTAAGTAGTTATACTTTGACTAAATTCTAGGTTTTTATGGGTTGTGTTTAATTTATTGCCGATGAATATGTTCTGCTCACATTGTAATATCACATAGATCGTCCTTTAAGATTTAATGTGATTTTTGTTTTACTGAATAATATTATATTGATTATTTATTTTATTTGATTGAATTGATCAGTTATGAGTCATCTAGATTGATATTCTTTTTTCATATTATGATATTGACTGCAATAATAAGTAGTGATTTTTTTTGTTAATGAATAAATAATAAATTTTTTGTGTAATGTATGCGGTGCTAATTGCATAGATACATTGTTTCAAGTATCTACGAGAAGGTTAGTCAAAAGTTAACACAAACAAATTGAAAGGTGTAAGGTTAACAAATGCATAACTAAACCCATAAAAAGTCACAACAATATCTTATTGGAAAATTGGACTTTTCCTGTTTTCTGCCGTGAATGGCGGATCTTTAAAATGAATTCCATTTTCATCTTTAATTTGATTTTCTTAACTTTTTTCATTTCAGTCAGTATCAAATCCTAATAATTACCTTGTGTTAGTTTTTTTTTTTTTTTTTTTTTTTAATTACTCGTTATTCTTTGCAAAGTAGTATATATTCTATATATTTTTGCACTCTTTCATCTCAAAGAATCAATATCTCATCACTAGAGTTTGAGGCTATGACTACCCAATTGGAAGGGTAACAGAGGTGTCATCACACTACCGTCAGTTTTACTTTGATTAAACTAATAAAATAGCTAAATTTATATTTGAAAAAAAAAAAGGTGATTTTAAAATTTTACTATACTCTTGTATAATAGTTTACAAATCACACAAGAAAGGTAACACATACTAAGTACTTAAAGTAGACTCCGATTAAACTTATGACCTTTATTTATGAGAATTATGCTATATTCACTCAGCATTTGACAATCCAACCAACTTGATTATATTGTTACTTTGGTAATCACAAAATTACAAGTTCAACTCATAGCAGGGTTGCCCTATTGACTTTATTAGTTTGAGTCGGTCAACTATGGATATCCTAAGTTGGTTTACCTCTTTGTTATTCTTTAGGTCACCCAAAAAATGCCTTGTATCTATGACAATGATCTGTAGTGATTGAGGCTGAACTGTAAAAAATCATTCCCTCCAAAAAGAAAAAGTTATTTGGGTAAGTAGGCCTCCAAAGTCATAATTCACAAGCACTCATGATGTTTGGGGAAGGGGATGGAATTATGTAAAGGTGGGAAATTTTGGGAGTGGCATGTGATGCTAATAGTCCTTGGGTCATGCCCAACTCTCCAGGCTCAAATAGAAGAGGTAGAAAATTGGATTGGGTAAGCCCAATCTATCAACCCCACTCTAGCATGACACATGGCAGTGTATTAGGTGTTCATGGGTCAATTTAGGACCAAACCAACCCGAGACTAGTAAAGCACTAAAGCCTGCACATGGATTTTACAAAGTAAAAGAAATAAGACTTTAAGATACATTTGATTCAAGTTATCTTGTATTAAGTAAACATATGAATATATGATTATACAGGTGCTAAATGATCCCAGAAAAGAGGATAAAATCAAACCAATTATAACATTTCCAAAAGATCCTGGATCATCAAGAGTCTTAATTCTGAAGCCCCTAGTATATAGCACATGCAAACAAAAAGAGATATGTCTCCAACCATGCATATTTTCTGCACTCTACTTATTCAACAATCTCCTAGAGTGAAGATGAGCATATAGCCATATAACCTTGCTTGAACCCTTTGACATTCATCATACACCATCGTTGCAATCTGATTAAAAACCACGTATTAGCAGGACCCTTGGATTAAGCTAACTACAGAAAGGCAAAACTATAAGCTAGGCATGCAGCCTGTGGCGACTATCTGATTCAGTTATCTCGAGGCTTTTTTATGGATTTAACTCATCAACAATCAATGACAGCTGCATGATTCACAAATCTGCAAGAAATAGTACCTCCAGATTAATCTATAACTGGGTGTGGGCACAGCATACATAATATAGTTGGTGAACAACGTGTTACCACAATGATTAAGTAATCATGACACTGAAATTCCTCACATTTGGTAAATAAATTAAGATTTAAAGCCATACCAATAAAATACTCAAATACCGAAATGACTTTGTTTTCAAAAGATATATCTTATGTTGCTAAGATACTATAACATTCAACAAAAGTTTCTTTGAAATGTTCGACCTTTAGGTTGCTAAAAGTTTAGAAACAAAGTTCCTTTGCTTATTATGCATAAGAAGCAGGAAAAAAGAAGATTTCATATAACTCGAACTCCATTTCATGATCTTCATCTAGTCCTCTTTTGTCCTACAAGATGAAATACAACCCATTTTACCTTATGCAAAGTTGAGGAATTAAAAGAGAAAGCACAAGCAGCGGGATGATTCACAGGGCAAGAACAGCAAACCGAGGAGTAAATACTAGATCTGTATATATTATTATTAAATTTATAGAACTCAGGAGATGAGATAACAAATTTTTACTTGCCAGATTCCTTTTAACTACATTCTGAATGTCTGGAAGCTCATGAATTATGCGTTAAATCTTTAAATTCAACAACACGAGCTATGTGAGATTCAAAGCTCGACACACTTTTTTCCCTTTTTGCTTGTCATTCCTCTACTGTGTTAACTCAAATGATTGAAGAAATCTAAGCCCTTAGATTAGTAGCAAACTGGAATAACCCTAAAATGAGCCATAACAAACATCATCTCCAGATAAATTCTGCAAATGCAGGGGGTAAATCCTCAATAATAGCATTCAAACTACAGTGAGTTTTTATCTTAGCCTCCCAATCAAACAAGCAGCAATGTGTTTATCAGAACATAAGAAAATAAGCATACATGGACCAAAAACAGATAGCAAATAACAGCAAGATATTATCACTCGATTTGCAGAGCTAAAAAGTTTTTTTAAGAAAATATAAAATATGTACCTTCAAGCGTCCATCCGTAGCAGCGAGGCGCAACAGAGAGCATGGAATTGAGCAATGCAGAGGCAGTTGCAGTGTGATACGGTAGCATAGTTTCCACTCTAACACAGCTCAATTCCACAGGTGACCTTCATACAATAACCGTGTCAGAAGCACATACCTAAAAATAGATTCCACCTAATTATCGTGCTCAGAAATGAAAAGATGAAATTAATAGCAAAAACTACCTGAAAATGCGCGAAGTGAGAGGTCTCTGAGTGGGGATGGCAAAGGGCGACGCGGAAGTCCTCCGCTTCGCTCCGGCGGCCGCTCTGGTGGCGGCAGTTCGGATAGATGAAGTGGCGGCAGCCCGAACACATATGGCGGCAGAGCAGAAGACTGACTTGGCGGCCATGTTTTCTCGGGGATTCTGATTGACAGATCGAGATGTGCGCGACTGCGTAAGAGGGGTTTGCTGGGGTTTTACATTTTCCGATTTTTTAGTTCTTTCTAATTAAATTATCTTAACTAAATAATAATTTGCATAACAATTAATACACAGAAATGACTACAAATGGGGTTTATAATAAGGCAAAACCAACACTTTCTCAAAATTATAAGTGTATACACATTATAATAAAAGTTCAAACTTACCTACTGAAACACAAAGAACCAATAACGCATCCACTGGGGCTCAAACTCATAACCTTCCAAATGAAAATCCAACCCGGATACCATTAGACCACATAAAAGTTCAAACTTTAATTCTACTTTATATTAACTATTTTAGTAGATTTTTATTTGTCATGTTAAAATGGAAGTAATGTTCATTAGGACCGTTAGTCGCAATGTAAGGAATTGGAATTTTAGCATGGTGCGTAACATTCAGACACTATTCTTTTCGCACATTTAGTTAGCTCCATAGTGAATAGTGATTATTAGAGGCAACACTCGAATCATGCTCTTGATACATTAGGTTCGACGTAGTTCAGTTTAAAACCTCTTTTAATTGCGTCTAGAGAGTTGAGCTTTAGACACCTTGACGCATGTCACTCCCCAAATTTCACACCTTTACATAATTTAGATTGTTATACCATATATTATGAATGAAGCACTTTACAATGAACCAAATTATATATATATATATATATATATATATATATATATATATATATATATATATATATATATATATATATATAAGAGCCCAAGAGAGTTAAGCCTATAATGGGTAGAAAAAATGGCGGTCAAGTTTTTTAATCAAATGAATGGCTCAGATTGATCAAATTTTACTTTTTTCCTTTAAATTTTCTAATTTATCCTTAATGAATATGATTATCCGTTAACTTTTCCGTTAAATATTATCCTTTCCGTTAATTTCTGTTAGTTCACCGTTAACTTACTCATTGATTTCAATAAGAAATGTCTTAGGTTCGAACCTCATCCCAATTAAAATTGGCATAATTAGTACTCTATTTTACTCTTATTAAACTAAATAATAATTTAGTAGCTACAACAAAAAATAATACATATGCATTTCTTTAATTTAGAATAGAATTATGTGTCTACAATGTCTTTATTTTAAAAAAAAATTATTATTATTATAAATAAATTAAATAAGAGAAATAATTCCATCAGTTATATTGTATTTATTTTTCTCCAATATAAAAATTCTTTATATTCAAATTCATCAATTGATTATATTCGCTACATTGTCCCTACAATGTCTTTATTAAAAAAAAATTATTCATTATCAATAAATTAATTAAGATAAATAATTTTATTAGTTATATTGTCTTTATATTTCTCCAATGTAAAAAATTCTATACATTCAAATTCATCAATTGATTATATTCACTACATTGTCTATTATCTTTTTTGTGCACTATTTTTTAATTAAATATCAAAGTTATAATACAAAATAATCCTATATATTTATTTACCAAGTATTTTATTAATACCATGAAAAAATTAAAAAAAATATAATTAATAAAGTCAATCATATTAACTACTTGAGTGATTTGTTGACAAAGAGAATATTCAAATCACACAACAAATTGAAATGAGAACTACCTCGCAATGTCCTTGTTTGACAATCAGCAGTTAGCGGTTAGCGTTAACGGATTATATTAGTGAATTTGACCAGCGAATTATATCAACGGTTGGTAAAAAGATATTTGAAAAAATTAGCTGTTAAGATTAACATGTAAAATGACCTAAGGGTATACATATATTTAATAATAATAATAATAATAATAATAATAATAATAATAATAATAATAATAATAATAATAATAATTGTTTAAAAAAAAAATTAAGCCAAATCATATGAACTACTTGAGGGATTTATTGACAAAAAGAGTATTCAAATCACACAACAAATTGAAGTGAGAAAATATCTCACAATGTCCTTGTTTGGCAATCAGCAGTTAGCTCTTTAATATTAGTATATATTTAATATTTTATGCCCTAATTTTTAGTTGCTCTCCCTTATGTCCCGTATTTGGTTTCAAGTATACCTATACAATTATTTTATTGACAATTATAATTAATCTTGACTATATTAGCTTGCATTTGTAAACTTAGAATTGCCTATTTAAATACGCAAATTTAAAATTCAATTATCTATGCATGAACAATCCAATATAATCTTGCCTTGATATACTTTAAACTATTTATTTAAAAAAAAAAAACATTGGGCATTATCCAATCGCGCAATGCGCGTAAAAAACTAGTATATATATATATATATATATATATATATATATATATATATATATATATATATATATATATATATATATATATATATATATATATATATATATATATATATATATGCCCAAGGACATTGTAGTCTAATGACACCAAGTTGTTCCCTCATAGGAGAGGTTGTGGGTTCTCGCCTCAGTGGAGGCGATATTGGCGCTTTGTGCTTCATTTAGTTGAAAAAATAGTTATGAATATATATATATATATATATATATATATATATATATATATATATATATATATATATATATATATATATTGCAACTTAAGATTATTTTGTTCTTTTATACAAATAAAATTAGTACATAAAAATATATTATTAAAAAGTTATAATTAAGATATTTTAAATGGCACTCATATTGATATTTTTCTTTTAACATTTTAAATCAACATACAATTATATTAAGTCACTATATTAATTTTGTCCAATGTTTTAAATATTGCAAGTCCATTAATAAAAAATTAAGATTCAAAATATATTAATATATATGACTATATAGTATCATTCAAAAAATTTCAATAAGATATTTTATAATAATAAATTTTGTAACTTGATTGTATTTATACAAAAAAAATAAAGAATAAATAGTGTAAATAATAATATGTAAATTGATATCCTATATTTATAAGTGACAATCCGCTTTTAGTCATTTTTTAGTAAAACATCATATTTTGGTCATAGTATTATTGTGACATGATCAATTTTGGTCATCTATCAACAAAATCGTTTAAATTAAAAGACATTTTGATCTTTTTTAATGCAAAGTGTGTTGACCCGTTATATTTGTTATGTTTATTTTGTTTGAAAAAATTCATAATTGAAAAGCGAAATGGCCTTATATTTAATAAAATTCCAAAATTTTTTTTTATAAAGGACCAAAATTAATAATGTCACAATAATACTAGGATAAAAAAGAAATGTTCATTAAAAAAAGACTAAAAATGAACTGTTACCCATAAATTTATGATAAAAAATGAAATTAACTCAAACTTATAATATTATAGTAGTGTACTATATATATAGTACAAACTTATATACATAGTACACCAAGAAACTATACAAAAGGTAACAAACTATCTATACTAGCTCTTGAACTACACAATATTTAGGTGATCAAACTATATAATTGCCTAAAGATACTCTTTCACTAGAGGATCTATTCTTAACAATAACATTAATTTTAAGTGTGATGTAAACCAATTGAATCATAGAAATATTTGATGGAAGGCAATGGTAAAGCAGAAGGCGACATTGAATTATTTCGAGCTAAGGCTCATATCTTCAACCACGCATTGAACTACGTACATTCAATGGTCTTTGCCACTGCAATTCAGCTAAATATTCCACACATAATCCACACCCATGGAAAGCCAATCACCATTCCCGACCTTGTTTCTGCACTCAAACTCCCTCCTCACAAATCAAACGCCGTTCATCGCATCATGCGCTTCTTAACTCACAACGCCTTCTTTGATTCAACAAAGCTCAATGAGCATTATATGTGTGTGTATATATAGTAGTCTTGAACATTATACAGCTATCTTTTCCAGTCTTCCAAAATGGAAAGATAAGACGCATTAACAAAACAAAACTTCATCAAGATCAGGAGAATTAAAGAGACGTTTTCTTCAAAACAAGAAAACAACACATAGGATAGGAGTACAGGTTTAAACGACAGAAATGTCCCACATCGGAAGCCTGTGAAGCTGGATACCTGAACATAAGTTGCTGAAGGAATTGAAAGGACACGACCTTACTTGAACAGGATCTGTTCTATAGGCTCGTACCTCTGTATCTTTGAGTTCTAAGGAGACAGGAAACCAAGCTTGGTGGATGAATATGGCCAGGAGACTAGAGCGTGATTAACAGCCCCAGACTTTCATTGGGCTGAGCCGTAGAGGATCGTTCTCAGCCATGGGTTCATGGTTGGGATGGTCTCTTGGCTGTCTGACAGGCTTCCATTCTTTTTCCTTTGTGCTGTTTGCATCAAAGCTATCGTGGGAATGGAGATGCTCAGGCTCGCAGTCGCAGCAACCCTTTCACACCTTTTATCAAACACTTGATAGGCATAGTAAGAAATCTGTACTTTGTATCTGCCCTTTCACACCTTTTATCAGTCACTTGGAAGGCACGCGAGAATTCTTCTCAGCGATGGCGTTTGTAGTCCAACGGTTAGGATAATTGCCTTCCAAGCAATAGACCCGGGTTTGACTCCCGGCAAACGCAGGCATCACTGTCTTTTCTGTGATGCTTTGTGATATTCTGTAATCTACTGTATTAAATCATTTTACTAGGAAAATGCTAAACAGAATTGGTAAATGGGAACATATTAATTAGAGTATAGATTTCTATTTAAGCATCTAACAATTTGGCAAATTCGTTAAGGATGAGAATAATGCACAATTGCATATCGTAAAAGAATTTGTGTGACCCATCACCTATATAGTATGAGTAAGATGACATATGTCTCTCCTAACTTAATAAGTATCGAATTTAACACTTGATAATGCAATTACTTTAAAATTAACAAGAGAATTCTTTACCACCTTTTAAAATTTTACTTTGCAAGAACACAATTAGTTTCAATGTCCTAATTGAAAAAACTTGCGGCCTGTCATTTTCTTTTTACCCCGGATATCAACACCACAAAAGAACATTTTATTACATAATTCAAGATATTATAAACCATTTTTAAATAATTTATTTCATTTTATACTTATTTTGAAGAGGGAGAAGTGTCAAATAGGCCCATGTATTCTTATCAAGTGCTCAATTCCCACCATAAACTAAATTAAAGGCTAATTAACCACACTTACCTACTAAATTTGTTCAATTAGTTTTTTTTTTTTTGCAGATTACCAATTCAATTATTAAAAAATAATTTCAAAATAATTTAAAAATTATAAAAAAAAAAAAAAAAAAAAAAAATACAGCCACCGGCTGTTCTGCGAGGACAGCCGGTGGCTGCCATTTCAAATTATTGCATGGTCTCTGGAACATCACTAGTCTTCGTCGCTCCACCATTACCGACGCTGTCGCCGCCGCCACCACCGCTACCGTTCGGCCTGTTTAGGAATTTCAGGTATCAAGATTCACATAGCGTAATTTCTTCGGCCATGGCAAAAGCCGTTTCTGATAGCATACTTTCTATAGGATGCTCATGGAAACACCTCAAAAACATATGTCAATCAGTTAATTTATATGTGAGGAATAGAAATCTGATTCTCGGTAAGAAATAAATTGGCAGGCACACTCTGAGAAAGCGAGTACACTGAGGAAGTCCTTTTTGACAAGGAAAAAGCTCCTCGTTTTGTCCTTACCATGGCAGCTAGTAAGTAAATCGGAGTATGTAAATGATTGAGAATTTATTCTACAAAGTTTAAATACTGTTATTGGATGCTTGTTTTATTTATGCAGGGTTGCAGTTCGAGAATTCATGTGAAATTGGGGTCTTCTCCAATAATTTGTGAATTGCTTGATGGAAGCCAATGGTAAATCAGAAGGCGGCATTGAAATGTTTCGAGCTCAGGCTCATATCTATAAGCACGCATGCAGTGGCGGATCCAGGATTTTTTGTGAGTGGAGGCAAAATTTTACTTGACTAATGAATCCTTAAAAGTAAATTTGTTTAAAAAGAATTTTCCATAATCAAACCAAAAAAATATATACTCATAACTTATAAGTAATAGACTATACACAAAACATGTATATACACTCGTAACTTATAAGCAATGAACTATCAAACACATAATTCATTGCATATAAACACATACATAGTAGTTTGAAAAGCAGTGAAGTAGAGTTTGAAAAGCTGGAAATAGCAGTGGAACAAAACCTCACAAGCAAGTGCTTTAGGACTCAACTACTGACCATTCCCTATGGAAACAAAGGCCTTACTATCTAAACTAAATAAACTTTTGTATACAACTTGGTATATGTTATATATATACTATATCTAAGGGATGGGGGAGTGGGAACAGCTGCCCCCACTGCCCTCATGGTGGCTCCGCCAGAGCACGCATGCAACTACGTAAACTCCATGGTGCTTGCCACTGCAATTCAGCTAAATATTCCACACATAATCCACACCCATGGAAAACCAATCACCATTCTGGAGCTTGTTTCTGCACTCAAACTCCCTCCTCACAAATCTAACGCCGTTTATTGCATCATGAGCCTCTTAACTCACAACGCCTTCTTTGATTCAACAAAGCTCAATGAACATTATATGTGTGTGTATAGTAGTCTTGAACATTATACAGCTATGAGCTATCTTTTCCAGTCTTCCAAAATGGAAAGATAATGAGGCATTATCTTATGATCATCACCAAAAAAGGCATCAAGAAAATAATTGCTGACCAGATTATTGTTATATTAAGAGACATTGATTCCCTCTGGATGAGATAATGATGTGCCATAACAAAACTTCATCAAGATCAGGAGAATTAAGACGACATTTACTTGAAAACAAGAAAACAACACATAGGAGTACAGGTTTTATAGGACATAAATGTCCCACATCGTAAGCCTGTGAAAGTTGATACCTGAACATAAGTTGATGAAGGAAACAATAAAGCACGATCTTACTTGAATAGGATCTGTTCTATAGACTACTAGAGCGTGATTAACAGCCCATGGGATGGTCTTTAGGCTGTCTGACAGGCTTCCAAACTTTTTCTTTTTTGCTGTTTGTATCAAAGCTTCCATGGGAATGGACATTCTGATATTAGAATATCAGATCCTCAGGCTCGCAGCAGTAAATCTGTGCTTTGCTGCAACCCTATGACACCTTTTATCAAACAATTGGTAGGCATAGTAAGAAATCAGTACTTTGTAAAAACACTTGATGAACACATGAGAATCCTTCTACACATGAGAATCCTTCTCATCAATGGCGTTTGTAGTCCAACGGTTAGGATAATTTCCTTCCAAGCAATAGACCCGGGTTTGACTCCCGCAGACGCAGATTTTCCAATATTATTTTTCATGCTCTGTGATATTCTGTACTGAATCATTTCACTCTGCAATTATTATTGGGCCAAAATCAGAGCTGAAATACCCATTCTTTACTTTTTGGATCTCACACCTCGAGAGGCATTGAGATAATGGTGGTAAACAGACTTGTGAAGGGATTAAACTTCACTAAGACCAGAAAGAATGCAAGCAACATTCACCGGACAAAACAACACATAGAACACACTGTTTAAAGAATGAAATTTGTCCCACATCGAAAACCTAGTAAGCCGGATACCGCAATATAAGTTGCTGAAGGAGGCAAATGGGCACGACCTTACTTGAACAGGATCTGTTCTATAGGCTCGTACCTCTGTATCCTTGAGTTCTAAGGAGACAGGAAACCAAGCCTGGTGGATGAACTATGGCCAAGAGACTAGAGCGTGATTAATAGCTCCAGCCCTTCACTGGTCTGAGCCGTAGATGATCGTTCTCAGCCATGGGTTCACGGTTGGGATGGTCTCTTGGCTGTCTGACAGGCTTTCATTCTTTTTCCTTTTTTGCTGTTTGTATCAAAGCTATCATGGTTGGGATGGTCTCTTGGCTGTCTGACAGGCTTCCATTCTTTTTCCTTTTTTGCTGTTTGTATCAAAGCTATCGTGGGAATGGAGATGCTCAGGCTCGCAGTCGCAGCAACCCTTTCACACCTTTTATCAAACACTTGGTATGCATAATAAGAAATCTGTACTTTGTATCAACCCTTTCACACCTTTTATCAAACACTTGAAAGGCACACGAGAATTCTTCTCAGCGATGGCGTTTGTAGTCCAACGGTTAGGATAATTGCCTTCCAAGCAATAGACCTGGGTTCGACTCCCGGCAAACGCAGGCATCATTGTCTTTTCCGTGATATTCTGTATTGAATCATTTTATCCTGCAAACAAGAAATGCTTTTTTGGGTATTTTTAGTGGTGAGTACATATAATTAAATTATTTGCAAATAAAGTTTCAACTATCCCTAGTAAAATTTAATTTATGCTTTTTTTTTTTAATCATAGCATCTCCTTGACCGATTCAATTGAGGCACTGTAGGGTCGAAGGTAGCTATCAAATTTGTTTATCAAAATACTAAATGGAATAAGAGAATTGGTGAATGGGAACATGTTAATTAGAGGATAGATTTCTATTTAAGCATCTAACATTTTGGCAAATTCGTTAAGGATGAGAATAACACACAATTGCATATCGTAAAAGAATTTTTGTGACTCATACAGTATAGGTGAGATGACATGAATCTCTCCTAACTTAATCAAAAGTATCGAATTTGACACTTAATAACGCAATTACTTCAAAATTTATGATGAAATTTTTTACCATCTTTTAATATTTTACTCCGCAGAAACACGATTAGTTTCAGTGTCCTAATTAAAAAAACTTGTGTCCTGTCATTTTTGTTTTTGGGGTAAAAACTAATTCCGATGTCGAAAAGAAAAGGACATTAACAACACAAAGGAACAATTTATTACATAATTTAAGATATTATAAATTACTTTTTAATAATTTATTTCATTTTATACTTATTTTAGTCTTTATATTCAATTCTCAATCGTTATATTCATGTAATTTAACTTATCACTTTATTTTTTTCATCAAATTCTTTTCCTCTTTAATTTTTCGTACCAACCATACATGCATTGCATTGGGAAATCCGACATTTACTCGCCAATGTAACCCAACTGTCTGTGTACTTGTATTCGTGTTCCTTATTTATTTGTACAGTTGTAAAAAAATCTTACCAAAAAGTAAATAAAATAACACCTGATTCTATTTTTATAAACTAAATTAAATAAAATATGAAAAGACAGGTTCTGCGACAAACATATCAAAATCAAGCAGAAATAGTAAAAATTTTACGGCATTCTTCTCTCTTGCCTATATTCTTCATTTCTTCTCCATTTCCCTCTCATCGTCTTCTTCTCTCTCTAGTCTCTCTCCATGGACTCTGATTTCTGGACCTCTCGCCTCGCCGCTGCCAAGCGGCAATTCAATTTGCAGCACCACCATCACGGCCATCGCCACCACGCCAACGCCCAACTCTCCTCGCAGCTCGGTTTGTGTTCTTTTTTTTTTCTTTTCCTGTAAATGTTCTTTTGGATTTTGGTTGATCCGGAAATGTTTTGGGTTCGATAAAGATTTGTTTTTGTTTGTGGGTGATTGTAGATCGGTTGAGCATAGACGATTTGGAGGTTGAAGAAGAGGTCCGACCTGATTTCCCTTGCCCTTATTGCTACGAGGATTTTGATATCTCCTCTCTTTGCTCCCATCTCGAGGATGAGCACTCTTGCGAGTCCAAAGTCACCGTAAGTTTTTCTGCAGATCCACATATACTTTTTAATGCCTGTGTTTGCACTTTTTTGTTTCCTGTTAGAAATCATGGAATTTGAATGATGGGTTAGTTTCTTTTAGCGAAAAGATTTGATCTTTATGGAAAAAAAATTATGTGTTTCGTTAATATTAATGATTATCATGTGGATTGTATCTGTTCTTTCCATTTCTATGTAAGGATAGCTTTAAAATGTGTGAGAAAGATGGTGTTCATCACAGATAAGCTGCCAGGGTATAGTACTATGATAAAGGATTATGTTATTTTTGGTTGGTTGGTGCATCTCTACGGTGGTATTGATTCGATCGAAGGAAATATGTTATTCATTAGGAGTGACATAGATGTGGTTTCATTTGGTAATGTCTGCCCACGAAGAATAATATGATTCGATAACTAAGCAAATATTGTAGAATTATCAATTGGAGGTTGTTTTTGTAATGGAAGTCTTTTGCGTTTTTTTGGTTAGACGACGAGGTGTCTTGACTCTCGAGTAAACCCTAACAATAGGAGGCACCTTTAAGCCCGTACCATACTCAGACTATTCAGGCCTTTTGCTTTCGTTGTTGATTTAATTTGCTCTGGGAAGGATAGGGAGGGAGGGAGTTAATGTGCTTCGTTGTGTATAAATTAAACAAGTATTAGAGGAATATGAACGAAAATATTTGCAGAAAGTTGTCATCTTTAACATCATGGACAAAACACATACATTTGACTCTCTGGGATGAAGCAACTTGTTATTTCTATTTGAATGAATCTCATTACATCCTCTTTTGCTCTCAGGTTTGTCCCATTTGTTCTATTAAAGTATCCCGGGACATGCTAAGTCATATCACACTGCAACATGGGCACTTGCTCAAGATATCCTTTTGTGTGGAAATTTGTTATTGTTTGAATGTACAAGGGAATTCCCGAGTAGGTTTCTGTTTCCAAATTCCAAACCTTCTTGAAGATTTCCTTAACTTAAAAATACTTGCAGCGTCGTCGAAGGCTACGTAGACTTGCAATTCCCAGCAGTCAAGCGCTCTCGTTATTAGGAAGAGATCTTCGGGAAGCCCATCTTCAGGTGCTTCTAGGAGGCAGTGGGTATCGATCGGGCAGTGCAAAATCATCTAGTGCTGCAACTAATGATCCCCTTCTTCAATCCCTCGTTCTCAACTTCCCTGGATCCGAAGCAGACGAAATTTCAAAGTCTCTGGTTTCCAGTATCGAGGACACCAATTCAAAGAATGTAACACCGCAACATATATGGAAGTTGAGGTTAGTTATTTACGTTTTCTGGTTCCCATACTGCCTGATATTAGCTTATCTTCTCTGTAAATGCTCCTTTTTTTCTTTGCAGTTTTGACCCGTCGCTAAGTTCTGAAGAGCGAGAGAAGAGGATACAGCAGGCTACTGGGAAAGCGATCTTCGTTCAGGATCTGTTTGCATCGACTTTGTTAGCCGACTAATAGATGCAGTAAGTTTTGTGAAAGAAGTACTATCTCGGGTTTAAACTAAGATTCAGATCAAGGGGTTTTCTGGGTGGCTCAAAGAATTAACTTTAACAGCCCAGCATCTGAATGTTTCTTGAAACTGGATTAATACAGATGATGATCATCAACCAAATATCCATCTTCGCAACTCCTCTCAATGAGGGATCTTTGTACCCGAGGTCGATGACGATGAATCCATGTTCTTTTATCTTTCTCATTTTTCCTTGCTTTGTAACATATATTACATATTATTCTCAGAGAATTTTAAGCTAGATTTTAGCAGAAATTTATGCTGTTGCAAGCTGGAAACAATAATAACAGACCAAAAACGTTAAACAGGGAATAAGGTGGGGCAAGTAGATGGAACTTGGAAGGTGGCTTGTTTTTTTATTTTTTATTTTTTATTACAAAAGAAGGGGATACCCAGAATATCCATACAAACACCTCCCACATAGGGGAGCAATCCGATACCAGTGGACCACAAGCCACTTGGTTAAATATGACCCTTTGATAATATGCTTAGTTTATTAACTAATTTTAGCTTATTTGACCACTATTAACGGTTTGACTTGAAATAAGTAATAGAAGTATTTGATTAATTAGCTTTTTATAACATTTTATTATTTTCAAAAAGCTGCTCATAGCAGTTTTTCGATTAATTTTTTTTAAAAATCATTTTACAAACTATTAGTTAACAACTAATTTACTAAATATCTTTCTATAATCAACTAATGCTATTAACTCGTCAAATCACTAACTCAATCAGTTAACAATTATTTTCCAAGCACTTCAAAACCAATCATTGGACGGCCGGCTATGACGGTGGACGGTGCTGCGGTTTGCAGATGAGTGGACAAAGTTTTCTTGGAGGTTTTGGTGGATTCCTCTGCTTCATTTCTTCATATAATAATAATAATAATAATAATAATATATTATTATTATTATTATTATTATTATTATTATTTAATACTCCTCCGTATAAAATATAAATTGGTGGGATTGGATTAACTCCGCCGTTATATGAAGCAAAGTAATTTGGAGTTTGACAAATTCAATCCTCCAAATTCCAAAATGAAAATTGGGTTCATAGGTTGCTGAGAGCGATTTCAACTGCGTGTGCGTTAAGAAGACGTAAAATTTTATCTGCAAATAAATGGCTCGAAAGAGACCCGGTCTAATCGAGATTTGATTGAATTAATTTTATTATATAGGATGCAGATAATGGTGAATTTAATAAAGATTAGACGGAATGATAAATGAACAAAAATGTACAATTTATATCAAATGAGTATTAAAATACTCTTTCTGACTTGTTTTATGTTTTATTTACTTGTTATTAGCTATAAATTATTATTTTTTATATTTATTTTTATTTATTTTTAAATTTAATTTTTTTATTTAATAATACTTTTACTATAATTTTTAAATATTTAAAATTTATATATTAATATTAAGCTTAATATTATGAAAAATTAAACTAAAAATACTTCTATGGAAGTTTCTTTTAACTTATTCAAACCACATCAAATGAAACCGAGACATCCAAAAGGGTCGAACATCCACGTCATGTCCACCAATTATATCAGATTACTTATTTAATTAATTAAGTAAATTATCCGATTGTACCACCTCCCACTGCTCTCTGCTCTTTTTTTTTTTTTTTTCCTACCACTATTTATACTTCCATCTCTCCAAACGTCAAACCTTCAATCCGTTCCTCTGCTCTCTCTTTCTCTCTCTGATCAAACAAATTTCAATTCGTAAGTGCAATACAAACAGAGATAAACCCTAACTTATCTGTATATATATACGGAGTATAAATTATATCAGGGGTTTTGAAGGGAGATCATCGATCGGAGATGATGGTGGAGTTCTTCCTGCTAGGGTGCACCGGAATTGTGGTGTTCCTTCACGGAGCCAACTTCTTCTTCCACGCTCTCACTCACCAGGTCGCCATCCGCTCCCTCAGGTACGCACACTTCCGTTAGCGCCGCCATTATCTCCGGCCGCCCTCCGATTCCATACAATTACACATATCCAGATTTAATTTGATCTCTTTACTCTTCATTTTAATTTTCCTCGCTACCTATAACGTTATGGATCGCTGCTTTTCTCAATGCCTCTTTTAATTTCTTCATTTTATTGAAGAATAATGATAGAATTAAAAAAAAAAAAAAAAAAAAAAAGATTCTACCTACTGGAAACCATTATATTGTGGTCGGTCCACCGCCCCACTTTTATATTAACGTGTGGTGAATAGTCTCAATCACGGAAAATATATGTTTGAGATGCGCTAATATAATGTGTATATATTGATCTATAAGCTACTTAAAAATATACGAAAACTTTGATGAGGCTATCACAATTATATTCGCTAATCAAAATTGTTCGCATAATTCGCTGTCCAATAATGATCAAACAAGCTAAGGTCATAATGTGGCATGTCGTATATTCCATCGAATTTCTTTCATTTCTGTATGATTTTTTTTTTCTTTCATTTTATTTATTTATTTATTTTGGTGCAGTTTCCTGGGAATGATTGGATGGTAGATAAACAAGTGGAGGAGATGATGCTGAAATCGCAACTCACTGAGTTGGTGAAAGTAGGAGCGGATCGGAGCCTTTGCACCTAACGCCACGCTTCTTGTGATTAACCATCGCATATTCGCATTGCTTTATTAAGGAGATTATATCTTAATTGTGAATTGATTTGAAAATTTAGTGTATAATAATGTATAGCATAATATGTCAAATGTAATGATTACAAGGCAGGCTCAAGTGTTGCTATGTTTTAAAGTAAAGCAATAATTTATTACCTTTCTTTTATTTTTATTTTTATTTTTATTTTTATTTTTATGGAAGAAGAGAAAAATTATTAGCGTTTTTATATATTGTAATAAATTTGAACTCTAAACTGAAAGTTCTTTCACCACTTTTGCCATAAATGCAGTGAAAGAGATCTGAAATAAATAGTTAGATATACCTTAAATGGCATACACTTTTTTTTTTTTTTTTTGGAAAACAAATGGCATACATATTTTTAAATACTTGTACATACAATGTCAAATGTGAATATGGTTGGGCAAGTCACAAGTGTTGTTTATGTTCATGTGTCAAGAAATATAATTAGTTGTTCATAGAGATTTTAGAATTATTTTTTTGGTGTAAGAGATTTAAGATTTATGCAAAAAGAAAAGATTAAAAAAAATAAATAAATAAATAAAGGCAACCTTCTGGGCTTCACTGTCTTATTTCTCTTTCTCTTCCATTTTGATCCACATCTACTGTCCATTCAGCCAAACCGCCATTTCCAGCTCTCTCTCTCTTTAAACAATCAATTAATTAAATTATTTAAATATAAACAAGAATAGAAAATTCATAAAAACAAACAAAAGGAATTTGATACAACAGTTATACCATGGACCTGGATCCACCTTGCAAGATAGATCCAAGTCCAAAATAGATAATTTACATATTGAATGTTCACAATTTGAATTGTGAACATTTAGTATATAAATTGTGAATATTTAATATGTAAAATTGTAAATATTCAGTATGTAAATTATGAACATGTAGTATATAAAATTGTGTACATTTAATATATAAATTATATATTTTAAACTTGATCCACCTTACAAGATGGATCCGGATACACTGAATAATTTGATCAACCCAAGCAAGGGAAAATTGATCTTCTGCCCAACGCCCAATGTTTGAAGGCCCCTATAAATTGGATTCTTGTCAGATTCCATGCCTCCTATAGGTTGTCCAAAGAGCCCATCAAAATGAGTAAATTATATCGTGGATCAAATTTAAATGTTATTTTTTTTATATTGAATATTTATTTTTAATATATTAATTTTAATTTTTAAGCAGTATATCAAATAATAATTCTTCAGTATATAAAAAAATAAAGAAATAAAGTAAATAGACCATTGAACTAGACACGAAAATGCAATTGAACCACTGAATTAAAAAAAAATTACAATTAAGCCATCAAACCACTTGAAATGATGAAATTGTACCAAATAACAAGTTACCTTACTTTGTCACCGGTTACTTGCTTGCGTGCCACTAATTTATATTATAATATTATTTCATTATAATTAAAAAAACAAAAACAAAAAAGGCAGTCATGCAGGCTGCCTTCAATCGTAGAAGTCGGTCACACAGGCTGCCTTCATTGGTTCATCTTACAATGTAAACCATGGTTCGTAGTATAATGATTTATCAAAATGGAGTGAGTATTTTCATTGGCAGGATGTAGTTTGCAGTATTGCAGTGCTTATTATGTGTAATTATTTCCCTGAAAGAAAAAAAGAGTCAATCAAGCAGGAAAAAAAAACCAATCTAAAGGTTAGGTATAGGAGAGAAGTGAATCAATTTAGTTACAAGAGATAGAGATTACAATAGTATGGCTATATTTGGCAAACATAGCTGAAAAGGTGGTTGAAAGCTGAAAAGCTATAAGTTAGGAGCTGAAAACGGAAGAGACGTTAAGCTAGCTGTTATATTTGAAAGTGTTTGGTAAAATGATTTTAATTGGGAAGGGTAAATGATGTCATTTCTTTAAAATAATAAGGACAAAGATGGAAAAAAAATTAGGAAGCTACTAGCTTATTTTGAAACGCTACTTAAGGTAGCGTTTCAAAGTAATCTCTTATTTTAAGTTACAAGCTTATTTTGAGAACATTACCAAACAGAGCTTATAGCTTATTAGTAGCTTAAAATAAGGTATAAACTCCTAAATAAGCTCGGCCAAACAGAGCCTATATCAGATAGAAAACGCTAAACTCTCCCTAACTAATACACTGGCTCTAGTAAACTAATCTAATACCACACAATTATAACTATAATATAAAACAAATATAACATGAAATAATAACATTACTAACAAGGTAATTGTATAAAATTAAATATTGTAAGTCAAATTATGTTCTATTAATTCAATCACAATGATCATGTACAATGTTGTAATAATTTTGCAATTACTTTTTCTTATAACAATATGTTAGAAATGTTAGACTAAAATATCACATGTATCATTATAATATGTGATAATAGGATCGACTAACATCCAGCCATAGTTCTTGATACGGTTGAGCGATCTGGACTGCTGCAGAGATAACGAGTATTTTGTCTCTCACTTCACTCAACTCTCTCTAGATGGTGTATGAGGTATGTAATGTGAGCAGTGAGAGGACTAGTAGTGACCTTATATAACCACTGGCCATCATTGTGGTTGTATGTCTTTAGGTCTCCTAAACTCTAACCAGACTCCTAATCATAATCGTAGTATAGTTATTAAGTTATTAGTGTTGCACCACATATCAAATACTGAATATTATCATAACTTATCCTAATGTTATAATAATAGTAACGGATAAACGTTACAAGAAATAGATTTAGATGATCTTTTATTCGATTTTTTTTTTTTGAAAACATCTTTTATTCGATTTAAAAATGTTACAATGACATTATTAAATATGTACATTAATGTCATTAGTCAAGATTTTTGAGTGTGTCAAAGTTGTGGATTGTTAATTAACAATTTCTATTGCTTATCGAATTTTCTTGACAATACTTAAATACTTGATGAAAAATATGTGAGACCGAACCACTCACGCCAAAGCCATGGTTGCTATAAGCATATAGGTGTCACTTTTATAGATCTACCACCGTAGTTTGAAGAGTGAGAGGAGGGAAGGAGATTTGATTTTATCTGTTAATATTTAATTTATATCGTCATAATAAAATATATTTTTTATTCATTGATTGTTGTAAATTAATTGACTGACACGTTAAAAAAGAAATTTATTTATAAATTAAATATAAAAAGAATTAACTATATATTGCTACTTAAAGATGTTAAGTGAATATTAAAAAATAAATTTAAAATTAAAAGGGTAATGTCAAATACTCCTAAAGAAAAAAAAGTTTAATATAATTGAACCTCGACATACACTACAAATGGAAGCTTCGACATGTAACCTATCTTCCTCTAATTTTGTTTCTTATCCAAACACCAAATTGTCTCAACGATCCTCATTTTTCTTCATTTCACTTTCTACCAAACCCTATCAAAATAGTCATACTACAAGTCTACAACACGCCATGAATGATAAATATGTCAAGAAAAATACTACATATACTCTTAGGGTGTGTTTGGTTCGCACATAGGAATCGGAATCGGAATTGGAATGGGTATCAAATATTTGGTAATGGTAATGGGTTTTGATGAAAGTATTTAACATGTTTGGTAGTAGGGTGGAATATGAATGGTTACTAATAGTAGTGCTTGAGAATGAATAAGGGAATGAAACCCTTATTGTATTTGGGTATGGGTTTTTCAATTGATGGGGTATTCGAAACCCATAGTAGTGTTCTAAAAACCTATCAACCAAACAACAACAATCACTTTCATACCAATTCCTATGGGCAAAACCCACCAACCAAACACACCCTTATTCTCTACTCTTAACTTTTACTTCACACTTAAAATATTGATATAGACATTTTTACAAAGGCTCACATGAAGAAAATAATCTATCAGAGCCCGCCACATCAGGAAGTAAGATTTAAGAATACATGTAGTAGAATTCATATGTCAATAATAGAACCATATTACATACTCCTATATTTATCCATGCAATACTATCTCACTTTCAAGATTTTTCATCATTAAATTTGCAATCCATTCATTATTTTTTCAAATCATTGCAATTTCAACATAGTTTCAAAAGTTGGCTCACATTAAAAATATTATTATATTAGTTCAATTATTAAAAATGATAAACAAAACAAGTGACAAAACTCTCTCTCTTATTTAAGACATTGTGTTAACATTTATTTTTTCAATTAATAATCTTGAAAGAGGTAAAATTTTAAGGATATAGAAAACAATAAAAGGAAGTTTTTTTCGCTCAATTTTTGCAAGTCAATTGGGAGAGAGAAAAAAATAAATAAAAGGAATTTGTTGTCATATAAAAAAAGTTCATTTAAATGTCCAACTAGGCACAACAGTTCCCTACACACGCTCTGACAACTTCTTCCCGATTTACCGTTCAATAGGTCTCACAAAAAATTTTGATTTTGTAGGAGAAAAATTACAAAAAAGCCATCCAATCAATTAAAAATCTGATCCCAAGTTTTTTGTTATGAAAAAAGTTTCCCAAGAGTCACTCGTATGGATGCTCTTATTACATGTTTATGATGTGTCATTTTGTTTATCAAGGAGTGAGGATTATTAGTATTATTGTCCTTAATATTATTATAATTTTAATGTGTTGCATCGATCTATTTATAGTCAATTTACGCATGCATTAGCTTGCTTGACATAGTAACAAAATGTGTTGAAATTCGATCTCATGAATGTCAAGGTAATAATATGATTCCCAATGCTTCTATAATTTTTAACATTAATTTTTTCCATTAATATTGTCAAATATGTTAAATTTCAAATGATTATATTATATTTATGAAAAAAATATATAAAACAAGATACTACCTTGTAAATATTACCGAGTAATGCATTGACATTCCAATTGTCATTCCAAATAGATGGTCATAGGTCCGAACTTTGGAGGTGGGCCTTAGATTCCTTATGTTGAAAATAGTTAAAAAGTATAAAATAGATACTATTATCTTGTAAAAAATTACGAGTATTTTAAATAAAAAAAAATTCATATTCTTGAAGAGAAAACGAGAAGGAAGAGTGGAATGAATAAAAAAGAAATATTAATAACGTAATTGCAAAGCCAATTGAAATATTCAAGTCCCAATTATTTTCTGGCCGCTATCCCAACGACACAACCTAATTAAGCTAGTAAAA